ACAAATTGTGGTTGACGCTTTTGATCCGCGAAAGCAGCATAATCGGAACTCGACAAATGGCCGCCATCAGAACACCGACGACGACGATACAGAGGTATAAATAATAAGTAGGATATTTTAGACTTTTTTTTAGAAGCGCTGCGCTTTGCAAATAACCCAATAAAATCATAAAACAAAAGCCAAGCATAATATTAAGCAATCAATCAATACCCAAATTATATACCACTGCCAAACACTTGTACGCTGTAAGCGAGTTACGCTTTGGTGATTTCTTCCATACACTAATTCCGGCTTTCCATGTAATTCGCACGGCAGTAGTCCCCAGTTATGGCACATTAATTATAGTATATTGTTCAAGAAATATATTTTATCTCTATAATTTTTCGTTTTTTGTTTCGTTGGTAATAGATATTATTGTTAACGAGTTATGAATGTGATCGATAAAATAAAAATGTATCCAGAAGATTTAAAATTAGAAATTGGTAAAAATTGCTTGTTGAACATATTATGTATTCTTGAAATACTTGTAATGTTGATTGGTTGTTTAGTATTCTTGTTAATATCTGCGCTGAGTGGGAGCATAGTTTTGATTGATGCTATGAAATACGCAGACGTTTTCATAAACCTTTCTGTAAATAGTTACTGTATTATCTATTTATTATGCATATTTATAATGTAGGCCTATTGCCTATCAAACCTCCCATATTATATTTATTATTGTTTCGATAGTACATTATTTATGTTTACGTGTTAATTTTACTTTTAATATATAATTTTTACTTACATATAATCATTTCAAAATCAAATGTATTTATATACATATGTGGCTCGTTCATTCACATACATTCATAATCCAGCTGGATTATATAAAAACGCAACCAACAACATAGAAAAGTAATATTTAAAACAACAGTTGTGGTTTGAAGGTGTCATTTTGATAAGCACTTAGCTAACAGTTTTATACTTGTCTACGTCTCGATAAGAAAATTATGAAATATATTAATATAATTCCCAAAGCCTTCCAAAATTCCGTTTCTCAAATATTTGAACATCGAGATTTGGCAGTGTTATGAACAGCAAAGATGCAATGATTTTTTACGCCAGTGTACATACGTATGTTTGCTTTGTATCAATACAATTTCAATACCGAATCGATACTGGGACCACCCATTTTATAACACATTGTACAAACACTTTGCAACTGTGATGAAGTTTTGGGAATATATTTATGAATTGCACCTCTAATATTTAGAGCTAATAAGACCTTAAGAAGGCCATCCACACGGATTTGTTCGCGAACATGTTCATATATTTGTTCACCATCTAGTTCCAACATGGCTTGCGAACAACATTTGTATTTTTATTTTATTAGTAGAAAGAAATCACTTATAAATTCCAGCAGAAATTGCTTAGACATCTTGACAAATTTGTACGCTAAAAAAAATTTCACAAATAATGTTCGTGCCATTGCCATTCACTGTAAATCGTGTTCGCACGAACCAAGCCAAGATAGAAACATTGCTATATTTCGAACAAAATGTTGTACACGAAATGTGGACACGAACACTAACACCAAGGACGAAAATTTCGTCGAAAAGAATACATTCGTCGAACAAATTCGTCTGTGGATGGCCTGCTTTATTTGAAGAAGTCACGAAGATCAGCAAATAAATTGTAATTTTAAAGTTTTTTTTTAATCAAATTTCATTAACAAAAATTTTATAAATACAGACAAATTTCAACCTTTACAACGCAAAATTCGTCTTGAGTTTGTTTACTTAATTATTTATACCTTGCATAACTGTTTCAAATTATAAAAACACAGCTGTTGCTCACTATAAAAAAGTATATTGTTTTACATTATAACAAAAAAGAAAATCGTGTAATTTGCTTTGTATTTAGTTTTATGTATGTAGTTGTATTTTTTTACGAAAAAAACTCCAAAGATAAATAAGTAGTAATAAATTTACGTTACGCAATAAATTAGAATTGGACAAATATTGTGTACAAATCTGCATTCATACAAACTTTTGAACATAGGAACCGTAAATATGTTATGTAGATACTTATTCCACGCAAAGTTGCATGAAAGGTCGCTTCCTTCCTGCTTATTATTCATTTACCATTTTTTGCAATGACATACTTTATTTTATTTATTATAACTTTATGTCTAATGTCTCTTTACCTGCATATTTTTTTACAATATTGTTGTTTTATATACTTGTTGCATAATATGGAACATTGCTGCCTTTGACCAACTATGTTTATAAAAAAAATCTATGATTTTTGCACTCACTTTAACAAAAGTTATCTGTTCTAATAGACGTTGTTTAGAAAATCTATTATTTCATGTGAAATAGTAGAACTGATTCTCATGCACAAGTACATATGTATATAATTATGTTTATATACATAATATTATTTGCATGAATATCCCATATCTACATATTCATATATGCTTTTGGCAGTATTAAGCAAATAAACAACCCAGCAAACACAAAATATAGCTATCCACTGGTGAATTACTAGATAACTAGTATCTTTCTAAAAATACTTATATAGTATAACCACTTGAGAAACACCAGATAAAATGCTCCAATTTGAGTTTTCAAATCGGACTCTGATATAATTTTATTGCGTATATGCAAACATTTTATCCAGATTCAATTAAAATCAGTTACCAGTATTGTTGTTCCTTTTTTAAATTCTTTACCATTCCTTTCAATTATAATATGGTTTGAAAACTACAGTTATCTAGTGTAATAATCAAAAAGCTATAGCGTTTGAGACTGTGTTTTGCTGGGCGTGCACAACTTGGTGGATATTTGGTAAATGCTGTTATACAAGCATCATAACATTAAAAAAACTAATAAGACTGTTAATTCATTTTATATAGATTTATTTTTATGATGAATGAAAGTTGTCATAGAATAGGTTAGAGTGGATCGCAGTCAAGTACAACAGTAAAACTATTTTCGCCTGCGAAAATGTTTAGATAAATAAAAATAATTAAATTTTCTACGCAAATAACAATACAATATATCTAAAAAGTCATTTAACAAAAATAAAATAAATTAATTTTTCAACTCCATTTCCTTTGTGAAAATAAAAGATAGTATTTATATATGTTATAAATTCCATTTTATTGATATATGTATGCGTTTCCACTCTAATTTAATGATATGTAATAATATTAAGGGTGTTAAGAAATATTAATACACCATTTTATATATACATACATCAGGTACGCTCCACGGAGTTTAGGTCTCAGTTTTGATATTATGGAGCTTATGTCTCTAAAGTGAAAAACAACACAAATTAATTTTCCTTCTGCCAGCGATTTGATGAAATGCAAGTGTGGTTTTCGTAGTGTGTTTTTGAATGCCATCGCAAACCAAAGTTGCACTAATTGCCTTACGTACATATATATTAAACTTAAAATAAATGTCTTTCAATATGTACATAATTTAATTTATTTTGCACAAATTAAAATTTGGCGATGTCTGTGCATAAATGAGAATTATTTCAAACTTTATTGAAACCATCAGATACAAATTATTATGAATATGTGCAAATAATTAAAATGTTTTCTTGCTTGAAGCATATCTCAAAGTTTGGCAAAAAGCTTTCAGCTGTGGAGCACAGTCCCAGTGGGTATATGTACAGATGTATATGTGTATAAATATTTCTAATTGTGTTAATTTGCCTAAACCAAAGGCTAATTAATTACTACATATTACATTTGTTATAAAAATATTTGTATTTTTATGACTTTTGAACTTTTAATTGCAATAATTTGCACATAATCGATCAAATATAATTAGTAATTATTATTTTAACTTAAGTAAGGCTAAAATTTCCATATATACGACAACTAAATATATTTATATAGAGAAAAGTGTAGTAATTGTATATTTTGTCGAAGTAAAAAAATAAAGGCAAATTTATTAGAATTATTTTATTTAACTGTATTGAAACGATAATAATTATTTTTAAGGACTTTGTTCTAGTAAAACGTACACAAAATACAATGCGAATAAATTTAAATGACGTTCAAAGTATTTTCAACCTTTTGTTATTGTCGTGATTTTTTTTTCGTGATTTTCGCTTGGTTTTCTGCATGTATATATGTATTGGTTTAGATATTTAGATTTTTGTACATAAATGTCAGTAAAACCCGTGATTGCATAGATTATTATCTGTTATTATATACACTCCTGTTTCATTTTTTATTCGTATTTTTTAATAAAATAATAATAAAAAGTCAGACCCGCCAGGTATTTGATGCAGTGGTATACCTAAAGTTTTCAAAAAGCAATAATAATTTTGAACAATAAGGAAACGATTCGCCTTGGCAACAAATTTATGGTCGATAAAAACCTATTTTCTCTTTTCTAATTTCAAATATGCAAACAGGTGTTTCATATATTGCAGACAAATCTTCAAAATGTATTTAATAATTGCAGTGGGTTTGCATTTTTGCAAGTAATCATTGCTACTGCTGAATACTTCAATATATGGATCTCAACAAAACAGGAAAATAAAAATAACACTCAGCTAAATTGCCAAACATTTCTTATGCTTAGAAATATTTGCCGCCGCCTTCTAATCCAGCATGCAGGGCTCCATAAATACGGAAATATTTTTGTAATATATTCTTTGTGTTATTGTGGCATGCTGCTTAGAGTTCTTCGGTTTATTTGCTGTCACATTTTTAAAATAGGATATTGTTAATTTTTGAAATTCTGTCGCTTGCTCGTGCCTTGCTAATTCTATTCTTGTTTAATCGTTGATTACTTATGTTATATTTGTTAAATTTCAACCATATTCCTCAGCATGCGACGAACGAATACCCTTAAACTCCAATGTCAAAATCATTATAAAGCGCGGTTACGCAAAAAACACAACTTAAATATTGAATATTTTGAATGCATCACCCAATTTTTTCTCTCCCCAATTTGATTACCTCTCTTCGTTGGTGTCTGTCCACTTTTTTCGTAATACATCATAGGATGGCGCTGATTTCAACATTGCTACTTCATCGCTTCATGCATTAAGCAACAGTATGACCACAACCACACCTGCCACGGACAAGCAGAGCCCGCATACGTCTCCACGTTTCACTCGCCGAAGCACTACTCCCAGCTTACTTGCAGTACAGAACGACTTATATGCAGGCCACATACCGAATCTTACATTGGTGAATTCTGGCGGCAGCAACTATATCGTGGCTGCTAACGCATCGGCTATAGCTAACGCAGTACTTTCGCCACAGCCCACGCCCACTGCACAGCSTATACATGCCCCTAATGGCGGAAGTAGTAGTACAAATGTCGCGACTGCTGCGCAAAAATCGACACATCGGATGAGCGCGCCTCTAATGGGAGCTACCTCAGCCTCAAACGGCAGTAATCCCAACAGTAATTATGTAACGAGAATGGCGACAAGCAAATCCGAACATAACGACAATTCCTCGTATGCCATACTACAAGGCCTACAAGATCCTTTGCAAGCAAATACACAACAGCAGCACACAACTACACAACGTCATGTTGCTCCTCCGTTGCCGCCGCGAAAGGCATCGCCTGGTGTTGAGAATAGTGTCACAACAATTATAGGTGCAAGTTGTACTGTAACTCCAGTTATAGCTAAATCGTGTGAGACAGCAACAGTCAAACATAAAGGGCAAACTCCAGTTTGTGGAGGAACTCCTTCAGATAGTTTAGCGACGAATACAGAAGGAGCTGCTGCGCCACCGCAAACAACAGCTCCACCGATACCTCCACATGGCAACTTGATGTTGGTGGACAGTATTGTTGAAGATTTGCGAGCACAACAGATCAGCGTGACCACATCGACGACTTCCACTCCTCATTCACTGACAACACAGTCAACAGCGGGTTCTGGACCTGCTTCTACGCCTACACGCTCAATACTCGACGATGACATAGTCGGACCGGCCGAAACTATTATGGGTGTAATTGACACTCGGCCCTTGGAAGCACGATTGGCAGTATCCGCTCGCATTTTGGAACCAACAACCGTAAAGCTGCCACCAGTAACTGCTATTAACCCCATGGCATGCACTCCGCATTACACACAAATATGCAATGCGACATCATCAACACAACCATTAGCAATGGCACCTGCCGCAACCACGGGAGGCTCGGTAGTAACTGCGACAACGGTGGCATCGCAGCGAAGTCAACAACAAGCCACACAATCACTACAGCAACTACAACAACAGCCGCTTCTATACGAAAATGTGGCGATCAATCAAAAAGACTGCAATGTACCATATGAAAATATCAATCTTGAATACATTGCACGGCTTGTGAAAGAGGGCTATACCAAAGAAAACGCTATTACAGCGCTGGGCATTTCTCGCAACAATATTGAGATGGCATGCGACATTTTGCGTGAGTTCGTGTCGAAGAGTACTGTTTGAGATGAGCGGTCGACAAGTATGATACCTGAGATATTATCAAATCTAGTAAGCATTGAATGCAATATTACATACATAGTAACTTATATATCAGGTTAGTATAAAGAAAACTTTCATGTTTGCCCTTTCGAGAAGCTTTTGGCAAGTTAAATTCGACATACATAAGTAAAAGTAAAAACTGAATTCCAACTTCTGAAAAGTCTTACATCAATTAATAATGCATACATTTTTATTTAAACACGCTCGATTTAAGTAAATTGATTGAAATTTTTTATACGAGTATAAGAAATAAATTGAATTTCCCTTGAAAAGGACATATTTTAAATATAAAAATACTTAAAAATTTGTATGCCTACTGATTTAAATTTGAAGAAATATGTATAATTTTACCGTATATCCGAGATCGTATACTCACATTCATACACATATGTATGATCTGCAGCTTATATTCATAAACACAAAGGCAGTAATTAGTACGTAGTGGCTGAATGAACAAATAATCACTCCTTATTACTCAAAAAGTAAGAAAATGATCGAAAAGGTAGACACCTAGCTTCAATTTATATAAAATTGACTTGAAGCTTAAAAAACAGTACTAAACAATCCATAACGATTCTAGTGTTAAGATTCGTATTAATATAGCATACATATATGAACTCGAACCAATATATACACACTTATATACATATACATATTTGTTGCAATAATATTTACAGGAACAACTCAACTATGACATTATGTACTCTAAAAACTGCTTATATACATAAAGTAAATACGAAAACAAATTTTCTATAGATACTCCAATATCAACAACGAAAACAGAAGAAACCAAATAATAACTCCCAATTGGCTTTCTTTTTTCTAACAATTAGGGGTGTCCTTAATTAACTACACTATTACGGAAACTTTATTAAATAAGTGTGTTTTAACATATTTCAATTCGAATTCATTGAAAAAGCGCAATGCCTAGGGATGTTGAACAAATTTCCGTTTGTGGTTTCCTTTTTTTTATATTTTGTAGTTTGTTATGACAAAGCCAATTTTACTGAAGCAAAACAGCAACACTATTGCAATATGTTGCGTAGGATAAAAATGTACAGGACAGAGCCATTTTTTAAGTTCATTGAATCGGAAAAATATTAACGAAATTGTTCGTTAATAGTATTGTCAGTAGAAAATATTGACATGCCAACTCGAACGTTGTGAAAGATTTGAGAATAACACAGATTCATAAAATGGTAATTCATATAACATCCACAAACAAATCGGGACCAAATCCTCCAATCTAGTAACATGGTGGTTAATTTATAAAAAAGCTATGTGGATCAAATCAAAATTACAAATTTCTTATTACATATTAAATATAATATACATATTTTGTAGTATTTCTTTTATCTAACCAGTCACTAAATTGGAGAGTTACTATAGTAATTCTGTTAGCCTGTGTACGAGGGGTTTATCATGCAAAGAGAGAGATTAGAAAAGTAGATCGAACAACTTACTATATTTGAGAAAGTTGTTTTTTCAAAATTCGAGATCTCTTCACATAATTACTTTTTAAATTACAAGTACTCTCGTAAAAAGTATTATGAAAGAAAATTGTACAGGCATAATTTCTCCATGAACAAATGAAAATTATTATGGAAGAAATAATATGGGTAACATTTGGTTTTGGCAACATGATGCTCATGGTTCTGTAATTAGTTTCCACATTCACTATTGTGGATAACTGTCCAGGAAAACTGTCTCATATTTCATTTATATATATGTATATTAATCCATAATATTGAGATTCTTATATTTCTAAAATCAAAATTGAAATCTAAATTGTTTGAATGTGTAACTTTCCCTGTCACCGCTGTACAATATTATGTATAAATTGATTTTTAGAGAAATTTGATATGCCATCCATTTACTATGTTCGATTATATTGCTTTGAACGGAGCTCAGAAAGGACCAGTCAGTTTTTACAAAAATTATCGAAAAGAAGATTTGGTGAAAACGTTCCACTAATCACCATATTGCAGCTTATAACCGCACCAAATCTGTAAGATCCTTTGCCATATATCATTCCATTTCATGGTTACATAGTGAACATCGCCAATACATATTTTTTCAATGAATGTAGAAGGTATAATGCGAATTCTCTATGCCGAAGAAACAAGCAATATTGTAATTTATTTATTGCGAACCAGAACGGGACTGTGAACTCGGCAGAATTCTGCCGCAGCAACAATAACATTACCAATTTCTTTTTGATTCCTTTTTCAAAGATAGGTAAACAGGAATTTGGAACTGACTGGAATTTGATTGTATTAAGGAATGTTACAGCTTATGTTTGTAGGATACGATTTGTGACTGTGTCTACAAATCAAAAGATCCCTCGTCATAAAGTTTGACCTTATCTTATATTACTACTAGACTTGTTTATACAATTTGATATTTTATGTTGATCGGGTCAGCCAACAAAAACATAAAGCACTGATTTTTCATTTGAAAAATTGGGCTACAAATGCCTTTCTTTTGGATTTTTTTGTAGTTTGTTCAGCTCACCTGGGATGCGTGCGCGGTGCATTTCATATATGTACATATACATACATTCACATTCATATTTTTAAAAACGTTAAGAACTCATTTCATCGGGAGGAGAGTTCCGTACTCGCGTATTTTACGAAGACGATTATTACTTTATTATACGTACACACCAGTGTAACACAACAGAGCTGGGCAGTTGGAATTACTATTAGAATCTAATCACTTGTGCGATTGCGAATACTTTAATTGCAAAATTTTTACTGATTTTAGCTGCATTAAAAATAACCATACTTTTATGGTTGCAGTTGCAGCAATTGAAAATTGAAAAATTTTAATATTTTAGATTCCAGTATAATTATAAGATGAATGGAGTCACTAGTGATCACAATTAAAATAATCGCAATCGCAATCGAAATGTAATTTGCTTAGCTTTGTTTAAATGTATATTAATACAATACAAATCAAGAATACAATACAAGAAAAAATCAAATAAAAAACTGTTCATAGTACATAGGAATAATCGAAATCAATGAATTCGAAATTAATAAAGTTCAAGAAAACAGCAGCAAGTATGTAATAAATAATACCATTACAAAATTATATCTCTGATGTTATGGCAATGAAAAAAAAATATATACATACATATATACTTTTTTACTAAAGGTAAATTTCTGTCAACTTCAAATAATCGAAAATAGTAATTAAAGTAAATTTTTGTGTTGAATGATTACTTGAAATCCACCTGCATTGGGCGCTGTTGCAAAAACGGATTGTTTAAAATTTATTCAAAGCAATAAAAAATAGTTTTAGAAATATCAGAAAAGGAGCATTAACACATTTTGTCAATCAAAGGTAATACACATAATTTTAAATATATTCTAAAGCTTAGATCAACCTCGGAAAAATATTTTACAATTACATATGTAAATACATATATGGCATGTCATGTAAACATGAATTCATAATCTCGATCAAATCAAGTCAAAGAGCAAATTTAGGATTAGTGAAAATTTGTCCTAAAACAAATATGTCAGCAAACATACCACAACTAAGTCGATTATCAGCATAATTCGCGTGGTGTTTTACTTTGTAATTATTGTGTACATTTAACAATTACTGTAACAGTCTTGATGTTTTTATAAGCACTGACTCCTTTTGAATATTAGTAGGAACGTGATGGATCAAACAAGAACCAATTAAGATGATACAACTAGTATTGCATAATCAGCAAAAAAAAAAAAAAATGCAATAAAATATACATACATACGTATACATACATATATATAAACATTAAATCATATACATACATTTACATGCGTACATAAACTATATTTTCCATAGACATGCCATAAAAAGCTATTTAAGCAGATGCAATTATTCTTATAAATAAAAATATATTTAATAAAAAATAAAAACTGTTTCAATTAAATATTTCCTGTTCGGTGGTTAAATATTGATATTAATTGGAGTTGAAGAAAGGATGAAATATGCCTTACATATAAGTTGCATATATACACTGCGCTTCATTAAGTTAGCACACTTCAGGTTTAAATACTTTTGGTTAAATTCTATCGAAACTAATTAGGTAGATAGATATACTGAAAATAATTAAGGTTTTGTACTGCGACCTGGTCTATTGTACCGTCACTCATATTACATACATACATCTGTTCACAATGGTCCAGCACACTGAATAATTCCAGAAGCTTGCTGGGCGCGATTGAGGTGATGTGATTCTAAGAAGCTACAATTCTAAAATGACAAGCAATCATTAACGAATAATTTTTGTACTAAATAAAACTTTTTTTCGAAGTCAAGTAAATAAGGACTTCGGGTATAACCGAACATTTCAAAGATTGCAAGTTGCCAAATGCAAGACAAGGATTAAAGCTAGGAAAGTACCTTCAGATACATAAGGCTTGTTAGTTATATGGGGTCTAGGGAGAGTTTTCACCAGCTTTTATTCATTCTAAGCTTAAAACCATTGCACCGTTATCAAATAAACACGCTCTCCCAATTTTATTAAGATAACTCACATAGTGGTATAAAGTTACTGGGAAGTTCGAAAATCATTATATTCGGTATATGGTGGCAAAAGAAAGTATTAACTCCATTCAACTAATTTTTAGCGCGAAGACAAACTACTATAAAGAAAGGATTTCTTTGAATTTCAATTATAAATCTGACACATTGAACAATATTTTCGGTAAAAAATCAACCAATACTGGGGTCCAAATATTCGGTACCTTAGGGGAACACTTTTTGTTAGATTTGGACAATTTTTGGTCGTAAAGTAGCATGCTATAAAGGTATTATTCGTGAAAAGTTTTATACCGTTATATTGATTGCTTCTAGATTTGTATTCTAGTAAATAAAGAATCAGGTGGAATTTAGAATTGTACATATTGTATGGGAGTAGACGTGGCTGTAGTCCGGTTTCTTTTTCATACTTGAACATGTAACAAGTGTCAGAGGAATGTGACATATCAACGCGCATCTCCCAATTTTGATACCGGCTTCATTAAAGCCCTGCTCTACCATTTCGGTGATAAAATTTAATGTCTATAGCGGATTTGGTTATTTTACA